AGTTTATTTGCCCCCAGTCTGATCCAATCTATTTTATATTTAGTATCTGCCAATACAGAGTTCCCATCCAGTACCATTTTCCTACATAGAACACACTCCAAGTATTGTACACTGCTCAAAAAAATAAAGGGAACACCTAAACAACACAATGTAACTCCAAGTCGGTCCCACTTCTGTGAAATCAACCTGTCCAGGTAGGAAGCAACACTGATTGTGAATCAATTTCACCTGCTGTTGTGCAAATGGAACAGACAACAGGTGGAGATGAGAGGCAATTAGCAAGACAACTCCTATAAAGGAGTGGTTCTGCAGGTGGTGACCACAGACCATGAGTCTGTTCTCGTCCTTTCTGGCTGATGTTTTGGTCAGTTTCTCATTTTGTCAGTGCTCTCACCCCTAGAGGTAGCATGAGGTGGTGTCAACAACCCACACAAGCTGCTCAGGTAGTGCAGTTCATCCAGGATGGCACATCGATGCGAGCTGTGGTAAGAAGGTTTGCTATGTCTCTCAGCCCAGTGTCCAGAACATGAAGGAGATACCAGGAGACATGGAGGGGGTTGTAGGAAGGCAACAACCCAGCAGCAGGATGCTACCTCCTCCTTTGTGCAGGAGGACCAGGAGGAGCCAGAGCCCTGCAGAATGACATCACACAGCCCAATAATATGAGATCCTCAGACCCACTGTGAGACCACATGCTGGTGCAGTGGGCCCTGGGTTCCTTCTGATGCATGACAATGCTCGGCCTCATGTGGCTGAAGTGTGTCACCAGTTCCTGCATGATGAAGGCATTGATGCTATGGACTGGCCTGCCCATTCCCCAGACCTGAATCCAACTGAGCACATCTGGGACATCATGTTTCCTTCCATCCACCAACGCCACGTTGCATCATAGACTGTCCAGGAGTTGACTGATGCTTTAATCCAGGTCTGGGAGGAGATTCCTCAGGAGAACATCTGCCGCCTCATCAGGAGCATGCCCAGGCGTTGTAGGGAGGTCCTACAGGCACATGGAGGCCACACACACTACTGAGCCTCATTCTGACTTGTCTTGAGGAATTTCCACTGAAGATGGATCAGCCTGTAATGTGGTTTTATAATACCATTGAGACCAAAGAAGGTTGGAAAATTCCATTTTGGCTAACGGCGAACATTGTGGGGGTTTAGTTGGTACAGAGGCACCATGATAAGGTCCTCTGTGATGCTTGACAAGCAGCACATATCTGTTCAACTAATCTGGGATCAGCTGGGAAAGTGTTCCCATGTCCTAGTGGCATTTGTAAGCACTGCCTTCGTGACCTCTATTATATGTCTGTGGCCCTAAACAGTAATATCCGCACAGGAGAAGTGTCTAGTGGACTCAATTTGTAATACAAGTTAATGAGTTACTGATTGATGATGCTGCATTTATTAAGAATTTTTTTAAAGTCAGAACACCTGTGTGACATTGGAAAGGATTGGGCTTAGATTCGTACCCATACCGATGAGTTAAACTTGCCTCGATCGGTCTATCTTTGACATCCGTACTCATACTACCGTTCTTCCCTACGATACAAAACCAATAATGCATCTTTATTTTCTTGCCTTCTACATTGATCACTGAGGACTGTGCTCGGGACAATCTTTTTTTTTAGCCCCAGTCTTGGCGCAGTATCATGTGTAGTATGTAGCCAGATTCTCATTTTGATATGAGTGGGCTGGGAGCATTGAAGAGTCAGCCAGAGATGGAGTTTTAACTCAGGAAGCTAACATGAACTTAATTATCCAGCTTCATACAACAAACAAAAACATTTGTCATTTTAGACAAAAGAGTTGACAGTCACTGTGTGGTAATGATAAAGTTTCTTTTGTCTACCTGATTAAAAAATTACTATGAATTTGGCAGCATATCCACCATTTTTGTGATCACAAACAGAAAACAAGGTGTCACAACAGAAACTAAAAGGGTAGGCGCTTAGTGCAAAGTCACATTAAGTTTACAAACACATAATATAACTAATATCGCTCTGTCTTAACATAATTTAACAAGTACAAATCTCACAGGTATGTTTTCTGGAGCGTTTTTGTCCTTTTGACCCATTTACCAGCTTTTGACTGAGACATTTTTTTTAGACCACTATGAACTTAAATTCTGCAGAAACCCACAGTAAGACAGAAATGTGGGATTTTAGGTTTAGCTGCTTTGCGGTATAAATTGTGAATGTGAGACATGGATTTGATTGATAAAACCAGTGCATGAAGGGCTTATGCTGCTGTTTAAAACATACCAGGTAAGTCTGGATAAGCTCCTCATTTAGATACTGCCGGATGTATTCATTTCCTGCACAAAGTGGCAACACATGCACACAGCCCTCCTTCACTGTTTTTCTCATCCCAGCACTCCAGCTCAACTCAGCAGGAGAGTAATAATGGACACCCACTCCATTAGAAGCCTGCTACCTTTTCACTCACATCTCTGCCATCTATTTATTCTGCTGCTTTCCTCCCTCTGACTCTGTTTGTGCTGTTTTCTCTCTGTATTCATGTCAGCCTCCCTGGACGAGCCTGCCATTGTGCAGTCGGGTCCTTATCCCGCTAAATTGGATAAAAGATTATAGAAGCTCTTTCAGTATTTGCTATTGCTAGAAGTCCCACACCTAAAAACAGAGTTTTTCTTTCAGAGCAGCCCACACCTCAAAAATCCTAAAGCATTACCGAGACTTTGTGCATATTGGATCCAGTGATAAATCCAGATTATCGGAGCAAGTGGTGTTTCAACAAGTAATTATAAGCTCCGATTCAGAGTCTTACTACTCACTCAGGCCAGTGCACAGCTCTGAGCTTCAGCAGTTAGAGGGGGGATATTTGTCGCCTCAGGCGGGACGCCGCCTCATTAGCATCTCTGAGATTATCGTGGTTATTTGTTTATATCTTTCTCAAGCAGCGTGTTGTCTTCAGTGATAAATGACAAAGTGGTTTTCATTTATTTTTCACTGTAGCTTTGCAGCGCTGGTGATTGAGATCAGAGAACATTAAGAGTCATTATGTGGTCTTTGCAAGTGGCGCCAGAATTGTCAACAACCTCGTTCATAATTTTCACAGTGCAAACCAGAGCTAACCCTGTGAACGGTATTATAATGAAAGCTGTGTATTTTATATTTTTATTGTTTTCAAGAGTTTCTGTTTTTAGAGAAAGCAGAAGTTTTGCTTGTTCTTTTAATACAGTGAAGAATTTCCTTTAGGCAGCATCAAGTGGACATTATAGGAACTGCAGCTCAACGTACCACATTCAGTTTAGACGCTTGCAGGAAACCAGGGGTCCATAATATGAAACAAGTCAGTAAGGAAAGCTGCAAAAAAAACTTCATGAATGTGCAATTAATAGGTTTAGTTATGCATCACAAGATTCTTTCAGCTGCAACCTTGGTGACATTAAATAGCTTTGAGAGCAAGTAAACAACCATGTGTAAATATAACCAATCTGAAAACATCATCAAACCGATTGCTGCAAATCTTATTAGGTCAGCAAGCAGGCTATGAGGCCGTAGTGTTTCAATCAGTTTCTGTTTCAGGATTATATCGCTTTACAAAGGCAGATAGAACAATGAAATGCTTTGAACTCTTTGAACGGGAAAAAGTCTCCTTCTCTGCTCGCTGTCTGCACACCGAGCAGATAGCGAGCGGAGGATAGTGTTGCTATTTCCCAAGAGAGTTAAATGATCAGTAGGCAGTAGTTTTTTTTTTCGTTGCTTTGATCTATTATCTCAACCAGGATAGGAGTTCAGCATCTGTTACCATGGCAATGTGACCCGGTAAGAAGTGATTGTCTTCGTGGTCCCTAAAAACCCAAACCTGAAGTTACCTCGATGACCTCAGATCCTGCTTCGTAGTACAGACCTCTGGTTACTCAGAGAGCTCGTATTTACATGAATGTAAACAGCCTGTTGGAAGCTAAATTACTCCATTGTTGTTATTTTTGTGCGGGTTTTTTTTAGTCCTAATCAACAGGAAAATGTGACTTACTGCAATCAGCCCGTTGAATTTGACGAGCAGACTTGTTGATGAGCACTTTCAGTCAGGAAACAGTGTACCGGAGTAATGGGGAATAGATGCTCAGGATGTCCATTTCTCTGTAGCAGGTGTAAATATACCACCACATTTCTCCCTTTCTAAATTGTAAGGACCATCTCTCAGCAGTAATGGATTGTATGCAGTGAGGAAAAATGTGAATGGACAGGAAGAGTGCATATTCTTTGAACCACAGTAATTATTGAGTCTCCTTTCATCTTTTCAGCCCCTTTTGTGTGTCATTGAAAATTACAGTGGAACATTTTACATTCTTCAGCTGCCCAGAGTTTGGACTCATTAGGATCTCTGTGAATGTGCAAATTAAGAGCCTCACCTGGTCCCTTTAATGGATCAATTAAAGCCAAAAAACACGGTTTTCATTTCACAGTTTGAGAAGGTGATTGCTCCCTGCCTCGTTGTCAGTTGTCTCCCTCGAAAACCCCGAACCAAGACGCTAACTCTCCTCTTCTCCAATTTGGTTTTGATTACAATTTGGAGTACGTAAACAAATCAGGAGGAGTGGCGTCACGTCACAAATGAAAGCGATGGGTGGTTTGCTGTTTTCCGGCGCGCTCTCTACCTGATTGCAGAGAGTGGATGAGGACGGACGAAGCAGACCACTTGGCTGCCACTTGAGATGGCATTCGGACAGATGACAATGAGGCTCTTGAATGGGGAAGGTTAATTGAGTGATGAAAACACACAGGTCCCTGATGGTCGTGTTTTGTAACACCTGCTTTGGCGATATTAACCTATATGATATCAGTGTGTTTGTATTTTGGTTAGTAGCAACAAACCAACAGAGAGTTGTCGCCCGATTCTGCAGTTTCCCTTCAGCTCTGCAGGTTAACATTGTTTTGTATCCAGTGTATGGTTCAACTGCCCCAACGTGGCCAAATACACCTGTGAGCTTTCCAACAATGTGCAAAATAATTTCCTTTTCTCTTTTTTTGTAGATCCATATGTGAAGATCCATCTGATGCAAAACGGCAAGAGACTGAAGAAGAAGAAGACGACAATCAAGAAGAACACCCTCAACCCTTACTACAACGAGTCCTTTAGCTTTGAAGTCCCATTTGAACAAATCCAGGTATGGTTTCATCTGCTTGCGAAGCATTTTCAAACTCAAAAGGCAGTGTCCATCCATCCATTATCTATGCACTGCTTAATCCTCACTGGGGTCGCGGGGGAAAAGGCAGCGTGTTGGGGACAAATTGTACAATAAAAACCAGCAGCCAGCAAACATTTGGTTGCATACAAGCAATTGATAAGTGGGAGCTCATTTACCAAATAATCAGTTTAGAGGCTTTTCATCATAACAGTATAATCAAAGCACTTCAGTTTAAATCACCCTCGGTTTTGCAATTTGACAAGCCAATTGCTCAGTGGATGTGATTGTCTGCACTGTTATTGCCTGTAGCATGTACCTCAGTGGTATTTGTAGCATGTCTGACAGTGATTACCGTGCATATCATTATTTAGCTGTATTTAACCAAGTATACACAGAACAATTATAGCATGTGACGCTTTAATGGATGATTTAGGCAAGACAATGATTTGATTCAAGACAAAGAAGAAGTAAAGCGTCAACTTTTTTCCAGAACGTTATGAAGAAAAGGATAAAGAATGCATGAACTGTGCCAGAAAGGAAAAGCAACAAACAAGATTATCTCTTCAGGCAAGACAGTAATTGAGTCAAATTGATTAAGCCTGTCACAGCTCACAAATCACAGGTTTGGTTCCACGAGCCTCAAAATTCAATTTAAACACTGCTGATCCCAATCAACCCCATCCGAATCAAGGCCTCATTCAGCGCTGCTGATACCAGTATGTTGGCTGAATTTACATTTCTTATCTCACTGCCAAGAACCAGGTTGATCATTAAGTAATTGATTGAATCATGAACTTGTCATTGATTAGGTTTATTGAACTCTAGAGAACATACTTTACAGCCCTAATTTAACTGTGACAATTCCATCAAGCACCAACATCCAAATAGGTTGGTGTAAATGTTGGACTAACGAACTGTTTAAACGTCCTCATCATGGCTGACAGCTCTTTAGGCCTGTGGCTGGATTGCATCTGATTTTCAATGAAGACACTCAGAGCTGTGGTGACTTTTAATTACACACTTTCTCCCACCATGTCACGTCTTTCTGCTCTTTAGACTGGGATTGCTGTTTAATTTACTAATCAATTCCTCGGGCAGAATGTTTCTGTGTACTGTTAAGATTTACAACAAATAACACAGACTGCTCATAGAAAGCTGTAATTTAACTTCTTTTTATCGATAGAGGCAAAGTGTTGGATTTAGGTTTAAACTGACCTTGGGACTTTTTAAGTAACTAATCGAAAGAGTCTAATTGTCTCAGAGATTGTGTGGGAATTTAATTGGTCTGTCTCGTAACACTAACAGAAGCTTTAGTATTGACTGACGTTCCACCACATCTTCCTTCGTACACACATGATTAGTTGTGAAGCAGTGACACAGCAAACAGGCTTTCACATACTCACGTTTTACACTAACACCACATAAGGACCATAGAACTCAATTTCCTCCAAGATTTTGCTCTTTTTTGTTGCTTGTTCCAGGAAAAAAGCAGAATGTTTTTTTGTCTGTATCTAATTTTCCTGTTTATGCAAATAAGGAGGTAGATGGATTTGTATATAACTTATGTATTAAGGCTGATTTATGCTTAAAGTTATGCATACTTAGGGGACAGGAGAGTCCATGGCCCACTTCAGCTCCAGCCATGCTCTTCCTTGTTCATTTTTGGATTAGGTAGGAGTTTGCCAAGATAGTGATGGCCAGAGCCGCCACACTGAGCCTCAGAATCACTGTTCAGGAAACCTGCAGATAACATCTGAGAGGGGTCGTCCATCTTTATATACAGTCAGTGGAGTGTATGAAGCACCTTATGCTGGTGACGCTAAACAGACGTACAAGCTAACGGATCAACTGTTGTTCATGACATGAGGTTGATATTCGTCTTATCATTTCACAGAAAGTTAATAAGCTTATTTGCCAAACTGCTGAGCTGTTCCTGTTCATTATGTGATTATTTTTGGCAAATCAGTCACAGCAAGGACAAATAGTCCTGCCTGGTCAGTGATGATTAGCAAGAGGCTCTGCTAATTTTCCTATCAAAGAAAGCCTTGTTTCAATGAGCATTTTGAAGGTGAACTGTCACTTTATAAACCAACTAACCCCAGCTGGCCATCTGGCAACCTTATTCAGTATTTCATTACATGGCGTATTAGGCATGCTCTTTCAGAACAGTGGCTCTGAGCTCATGCAGGTGGCGGTAGCCTCGTCTCAGTGTGTCAGTGGATCGAAACTTAATCAGGGCGCTTTGTGCACTAATTCATATTCTTTGCCAGAGATTGACGCCCAGGCCACTCCTCTTTGCGGCGTCCCTTAGAATAAACACACAAACCGAGGCTGAGTCTTAGACCTCTGAGTAATCAAACATTCTGCTGTGTTTGGCTCTGAAAATAACTCTGGTCTGGAATGTCTGTTACAGTTAATCAACATTTAATGGCTGAAGGAGCACCTCACTCCCTGCATCACTCTACTACTCAGAGAAATGATCAGGATTAGTTTCATAAGCCTAATACACTCGACAAGCATTTATCTTTATTCATTAGAATTTCAGATATACAGTTTGAAACATTCTACGCATCTACACAGCATCTAGTCAGCCATTCTGAGACCTCTCAGCTGCATCGCTTCATGTTTTTACGTTAAATGGACAAATGAGTTTAAGCAACATGAGCAGAAGCAGCAATTAGGGGAACTCAGACTCAATAAGCTGCAAAGTAACAGGTGACTGCATTGCAGAAAAAGATATGATATGAAGAAAGATCGACATCTGACAGACGACAGATTTTCACTTGCTATAAATCAGACAATAGAATCCTGTTGCATCAGTTTTAATCTGGTTGTATGGGGAAAAAACACATTTTGATATATTAAATCATCTTGTGATAGCTGTAGATTGTAAAGAACTAGAAAAGTAAAGTCAACACAGAAGTGTTCTTTCTAACGGCCAGCAGGGGGCGACTCCTCTGGTGGCAGAAAGAGGTCAGACTGTAAAGAAGTCTATGAAAAATTGACCCTGTTTCTAACTTGATCTGTTACCGACTAGTTAATGGTCTGACTCGCTACTTTCTATACAGCATGATATTTATTTGGTAGATTATGGTCCCATTTATACTAAAACAGATGCTAAAGCAGTGTATTTTTTTTAGGGTGGGGCTACCTTGGGATTGACAGGTCTGAAAAGTACGTTATGTGTAGTGTCCTCAAATTCTCAGTCAGATCCATCCCATTCTTGTTGTGTCCTTTTGCAAAACACCAAGATTGTGATGGCCAAATTCCAAACTGCACGATGAAAGTCCACAAACCAATAGGTGACGTCACAGCGGCTACATCCATCTTTTATATACAGTCTAAGATTACATTCTGTTCATTCTTTTCTCCACATTGATCTGGTCTTTAGTAAATCCAAACAACATAGCAAAAGCTGAAGGTTGTTAGAAAATAAAAGGAATCCCTCTTCACTTAGAGCAGAGATTAAAAATGTGACCTTTAAAGAGCACCGTTTAGCGAAAACTTGTGGTATTCAATTTTGAGATAAAATAGAAACCATCTTGTGATGGCTGTCAACATGTTGACGTTCTGACCCATAAGTACTCAGATTATTTAGTACGTTATATCATCAGTGCCCGAGTACTCAGCGCTTGAGTCGGACCAGACACATCTTCAGTCTTCATTTTGGTCTCAACTACAAACCTGTAAAGTTTTGTGACTGCATCTTCCACAGTCATTATGCCATTGCGCTGAGAAATCTTCCCACAGGCAGACATATGAACACCTGCCAGATTACTCCAGACAACCTTTGTGGTAGTTCCTACTACAGTAGGTACTTCAGGGACCACACAGACTCACAATGTGACAACAATACCAGCCACACTGTCACGGCAGGTAAACATGGACCAACAGCAGAGGGCAGGCTTTAAAAAGAGGCAATAACAAAGGAAATTAAGTAAATGGAGGGAGTCGGAAAAACATCTGGCAACCCTTTACAATGAAACCATGATTTCAGAAAAGTGGACCGCGTCTAAACAAAATGTAAATTTACTGTTTCATCGAGAACCGTCTTTCTGCTGACGACACCTCGATTTACTTTTGTGTCCCCTCTTCTCCCACTCTTCCCCCTCCACAGAAAGTGCAAGTTGTTATAACTGTTCTGGACTATGACAAGATCGGCAAGAACGATGCCATCGGCAAGGTCTTTGTGGGCCTCAACAGCTCGGGGACAGAGCTGCGCCACTGGTCCGACATGCTGGCCAACCCCAGGAGACCCATCGCCCAGTGGCACGTCCTGAAGCCCGAGGAGGAGGTGGACGCTCAGCTCTCCACCAAGAAATAGGCAGGGCGCTTTCAGTACCTGCCTTGTAGTACTCTTTAGCCAGTATGTGTAAATACCTCAGTGATATATGGGTCCATCCATGTAACTCCCACCTCCCTTCACCTCACCCCTCAGCCTCCCCCAGCTTTACCGCTCTCCCGATTTCACACAGTCCTGATCGTCCGAACATCCCGCCACATCCCGTTCTGCTTTTCTTTTTCTATCAGGGTCTCGCTTTTATTTTTGTTTCCTCTTTGATTTAGCGGTTTTTGATTTCCATCTCCAAGCCCTTAACTGCCCCGACCAAAAGCCCCCTTCTTTTAAGCAATATGATCTGTATAGATAGCGCATGACTGAAAGAATTTATTGTACCACAGTTGTATATATAAGTATGCAGACAAAAATGATTTCTAGTTTATGTGTTTGTATGTTGTTACCCGTTTCCTAATCTGTGTATATCTTGATGTTTTTAATAAGATGTTCTATTTTAAATTATGTAAATGCAGATATAGAGGAAAGCCAATATTATATATCCCAGGATTTAAAAATTCTACCTTATTACCTTATTGCATTCCAGAAAAAAAAAACTGAATCCAACTTGCAAGACACTAGAGGAAATATATTCACATTGTAAAGGACGACGTCTGACTTTAAGTTCAGCAAAAGGATCATCACAGAAAAGACAAACAGATGAATATATTCACACAAAACTCCAAAATACAAGGCCATTAACTACTATGGTTCTGTGGGAAAAATTATGCTGCTGGAAAATTATACAAGCACATGATTTCTTACGACTTTTTGTACTTATTTCTCAATCAGAGGACCTATGTGTTTAGCTTGATGCACAGAAACTATAGTCACTGCAAACCAGTTAGCGTTTCATTTCTCCATGTTTGGCAGTTAAGTGAAATAGGTCCTCAACTTTCACTTCTACTGGCTCGTTTTCTTGCCTCCCAAAAGATTAATTTTCTTAATCCTTCAGAAACAGACCCCACCTGGAAAAAAAAAAAAAAAAAAGCACCAAGCTGTAGCCATTGTGTCCTTAAACTCGTTTAACAATATTTTGTTAACTGCTTACTTTAAACAGCCTTGTCGTTGTTGGAAGTATATCGCATTTAGGCCGGGCTCTGATCTCTGAGAGGGAGTTTTAAAAAAAGCTAAAAAAAAAAAATACAAAGAGTCGCGGCTCTGGTTTTAAGAGGACTATTTTTTAGAGCAATTCAGCGTCTTGACTATTTTTAGTAAACTGCATGATTTTTTTTACAATCTTTACTAAAGGCTGGGACGGGGGGAGATCTACCGACACCAGGGGAAGCTCTTCTGATACGATCCCCTTGCCTTCAATCAGAGGAGAGGACAAAAAAAAAAAAAAAAAAATCAAGCGTAATGTTTAAACTTTGGGTCAATGTAATGTTGACGGAGGTGAGGTGAGTTTCTAAACACTGCCATTTTCAGGGAGGTGACTTATGTAGAGGCCCTCTCTTCATGCACACTCCCACTTGCTAGTGGTTGTAGCTTTGGTTTATTGGGAACAATGTCTTTGGCTGCAGTGGTGCCCTGAATCGCAGTCTTTGCTTTGCGTTGCCTTCTCACAGTGACAATAGAGCTAGCCATGTTTTACTGCCAATTTTAACTTTTATGTGGCTGCTGTTTTGCACTGGATGTCTTTGAAACTAGCTTGTTGACTTCTTTCGAAACCATTTTTGGACGATCGTTGGCTGGTTTTATTTGAGGACACCTGCGGGGGGGGAGGAGCCAGAAACCCTCCTGCTCGATCGGCTTAATTAAAAAAAAAAAAAACAAAGAAAAAAAAAAAAAAGAAAGCATTGATGACAAATCACGTTTCCGCCAACAGCAATTACATCAGTTTTGTTTTCTTGTTGGCACAGGATTACACCAGGAGAGCACGAAATAACCGTAAAAGTTAATGGTCTGCGTAGGCTATTAGTCCATCATGTCCTTTACTACGGGTCCAATTAGGAAAGGAATAAGTTTTAATCCATGAAAACCATGAAGTCTCTTATCTTGGAGGAACCTCTTGCATATACTCGATGCTAGCTTCAGGAGGACTTTCTAAATGTTTTCAATGTTATTGTGTAGTTGATAGCACTATTATGAAAAAGCTACTTGTCATTCCATAGGAGTCTCTGAGGACTGCTTTGTGTATCACTGTGACTGCCGTGTGTGCTTAGAGATGTAGACTTATCAGTAGGTAGCGAAAACAGTTTGTTCTGTAGTGATGTCGTAGCGTTTAATGCCATTTTCCCTTCTACACGCAAAGAGAGAGAAAGAGAGAGAGAGAGTGCGTGGAGTCGCCCGGCTACACGCAGCCAAAACAAAACCGGCGTTTTACCTGAGCGCGAGCGGGTCGCTTCACACAGCATTTTGTTGAGCACTGTGCAATACTTGTATGTTCATCCCATAGTGTTAACGTGGGTGGCGTTGCCCGAGGATTTAAGAAAAAAAAACAAAAGATGAGTCCAGAGAGATGTTTCTCCTTTCCAGTGAGATGGTTAGGACACAGCACACGTAGATTCAGCTTATAGGTTGGAGCTTGACACCCGTCGACCCTCATGTTTAGGGTTCCCTCCCTTTTCGCGGGTTCGTTTTTCTCTTCTTGCACACAGTTCCAGCATCAGAAGTTTCAGGGAGTCTTAGTTAAATACCAAACAAGATTCTACATTTAAATATCCCCTTAAAAATGTCATGTATATATATACTCACATAATCATGTCAGAAATGTATATCTAGACTATAAAGTGACATGAAGATGATTATTCAGCCGCAAATATATCTTTCATCCACGTGTTATATCTCATCATCATCAAATCATTTTCATCACAGACTTTCTTTTATTTTTATTTGTTACCTGCCCTGTTGATTCAGAATCCCCTTTTATATTTGAAATGAAAACTCTGAATGTACAGTATGGACTGTGTTGGTGTAGATTACTTTAACCGTGAGATTAGGTGTACTTTGCACTTTTTGTTGTAAAAAAAAAAACAAACAAACAATATAAATATATAGTAATTTTGTTAATATTTTTTCAGCTATTCTGAATTCATTTCATAGCCCTTATGGGGTGAAACCTCCCCTGTCTGATAGCATTCCAAAACCATTGAATATACTTTAATACAGCTGCATTCCCAGTCTCTCTCTGACCGAGGGATTCTTTTATTTGACATGTTTTACATACGTAGATCCATAAATTCCAGTACAGCTTCAGATTTAAATGAAAAAAACAATGGATTGAATTTCAAGGTACAGGCTTTTCCAAATAAAAACAATAAAAATGGCCTGAGCAATTCGATGTGAACACTAATTCAGAAAGGTTGTACTAAAGGAATTCTCTGCTCAAAGCTGAAAGAAAATCAAACAGAATTATGTCAGAAATAAAAAAAAGTGTGTAAACCTGTCAGGGAATTCGGTAATAGGCAGCATTGCAGAACCCATCGGATTGCGAGGTGTGTGGAAAAACTACCAAGCAAAAGCCATTACCTGCACTGCAACGCAATGCTCCTCCTGTTACGATTCCCTACCAAAGTATGCATGCATAATCAAATCCCCAAATTGTCCTCTTGTGATAAAAAAAAATGATCAAGCTCTCTGTGTGACAAGGAACTCAAGATTCTCTCCAGTGACACCAACGAAAAGCCACACTGACCTTTCAAAAGCAAAGCTGTGTAAAGTATTAGAATCTGATGCTGTAGAAAGATCCTAGTTGCCTTTGTGTATATCAACTGCCTGCTTGAGTATTTTGTGTGTGGAAATTTTCTCTGTAATCTTGTAGAACTGTTTGGGGTGTTTTTTCCTGCCATATCGCTCGCAGTGACAGCGAGCCGCTGACAGTTATATTTGCTGTGTATACCTTCATTTTTGATGAGGTGTTTTACAGTTTTGTTTCACTTTGTGTAGTGATTCACTCTGTGGAGTTTTCTGACTGTTGTTATATAACTTCATATACACAAATGATCAATAAAAATGTTTTATTTCCTGTTGATACAGAAGCCTATCATGTCGTGTTTTCATGGGAGCGTCATTGTCGGCAGCAGAAGACGCCACCGAGAGCAGGTTTATTAGCAAACACGACCTTTATTATAATCACTACAGGGTTAGTATTGATTGGCAGAAGTTTGACTCACTGCTTCTGCACAAAACTCCCCTCACTTCAAAAAGAAAACTGTGTGCTTGCATGACAAATTCTGGTTTTAATGATGATGTTTGCTTCCCAACACGTTGAATCATCCACAGCAGCCTGGTATAAAGGCCACTACTGCCATCTAAAGGACGCAGAGCAGCACAACACAGCGTATCAGCACAACAGTGGGGAAAAAAACAGATTAAGTTTTTCCATTTCGCCCTGGGCACAGATCAATTTCTATTAGTGAATATTTACTATTATGTACCAGAGCCAGAGGACCGGAGTTTGTCCTCCACCGAAATATGATTTCACATTAATGTGATGCTCAGCTGACGTGAATCTGATGACCAGGGGATGTAGAATATAGATTAGGGGCCACTGATGTGACATGAAGCTCATTTGGATGTTTTGACTCATAAATCTCATCAGTAAAAGATGTCCTGTGAAGTTTAAACTGGAGTTTTGTTGTCAGTGACACTTTTATAAACTGACATTTAACCTCGTAACACCCACTCTCTTATAATTCCCTCCTCTAAGCAGCTGAGATAGCTGCGTATTCTGCATTATCTGACAGTCACAAATTGTGGCAGCTTTTCACTGAAACCACGTAACTACACCAAAATATTTAAGGCCCAAAACTGCTGGTTTTAGGGATGCATTGTTAAAATGGACGTATTCTAGATGTGTTCTGCATCATTTTACACACCGTTCCCCCGGCGTACCTGAAAAAAATGATCTTTGGAGACTCTCTGTATGAATTTAACACTAAGGTTCTATGGGTTCACTTTTGCACAATCTATTTTACCTCTCAGTGTAAATACGATTATTATTATTAATTATTATTATTTTCTTGTACTTTCTTTCTATATTTCTGGCTGCTGCTGTGGCGTGTAAATTTCACCCAATGGGGAAAAATAAGAAACTAGAAAATTTCCTTGCAGAAAATTTGAGAGTGGCATGGGAGTCTGCCGGGATTTAAATGATGATTTTATAATGACCAAACCTACTAAACACTTTGAACAACCTCAGCCTCATCTGTGTGGAGAGAGCAGAGAGGGGAGGGGGAGTTGAGAGCAGGGTCAGAGTGTGGCCGGGCAACGAAGCACACAGCTGCAAGAAGCACACAGCTGCGACAGATACTTAGTTTAACTGTCAAATCAGTGGAAGAAACCAGAAGGAGAAGACCTCAAACAACCACCTTTTTTGTCAA